GGTCTGTAATTCAAAGGTCAAAGTTACGCAGAGAGGTCATTGCAAAACGCCTGTCTTGAACACAATTTCAACATGCATAGAGGGATTTAAATTTTACCATTGTAAGGCAGAGTGTCGGGCCCAAAAGTCAGGTCCCTGCGACTAAGGTCAAGGTCAAACGTAGGGGTTAACGTTCAGATAATAATATAGATGTGTATAGGTACCATTTAGTCATCATTTATAGAGGGGTTGTAACACAAAAATTTATTATCATGACTCCCCCATGGTGCTTATATTTTAGTTCAATATATGCAAGGCCAAGGTCACTTAAGGCGGTGAAATACCTGAATTTTGTCTGGAGCATATCTCTTTCAAAAATTGAAGAATTTTTATGATACTTTATAGAAATGTTTACCACCATTAAGGTATAAACACCCTAATTGGCACTATAAGGAACTATAAAATTGTCAACATATGTCAGTCATATACATATAAGGACACCTGTATGCAAAATTTAAACAAAGTTTACACTTTAATTCGCGAGTTATGAAGATTCCTTAACTAAAACTTGGCTATTGGAATGGCTCTTTTTTGATATGAGAAACATCAGAAACTACATGTATATTGGATGCTACGAGCTTAGATGTTTACCCTTAAGTATCACCTTGTAGTAGCCTTGAAAGCTTGGGTTACTCATGTCTCAACGGTAAAAATTAGCTCCTCCCAAAGGTCTAATTTGTCACATTGCCTGGAATAGTAAACTAAATTTAAACATGTCAATCTTCTGTAAACCCAAAAAGGCTTAAGCTTAGATAACTAGGTATTAATGGGCACAATGGCTTACATATTGTAATTTACACTTTGGTTATTTCGAAGAAATGATACTTGGTCCATAAAAGTTTAAAGAAGTATTGGTGAGAGTCAGCTGTAGTTGCTAAAACAGGTCTTTGGTACACAACCATTGTGTTAACAACCTTAAGTATATATATTTCAATTATTCAATTTAATTGTCTGAATGCAGCAATTGCAGGTCGTGATAAAGTATATTAATACTGGTCATTATAACCATGCGAAAATAAATCTTAATTAATATTCAATTTCAGTTTCTGAGTAAAGCCATGAATTACACTGTGATGAGGAATAGATAACACACTTAATGACTTTAAAATGGATTCAGTGAAATATGTATGTTGAGAGTGGACATTTTAACCTTGTCAATCAAAATTGGTTGTGAGCAGAGCCATTGTGGCATTCTAGTGCTATACAAGTGTTTATTTAAGCCACTGCAGATGTCACTACAAGGAGTTTTTTTATTTTGTGGTAGTTTATAGTATATATTACAGGGGCGCCCCTGGTCGAGTGGTTCAGGTCGTTATCTTCAAACTACTTGCCTTCACCTCTGTGGGTTCAAATCTCGCTAGGGACTTGATTTCTGTCATGTGAGAAAGCTATCCAGAATACTGACAAACGTCGTTGGTTCTACCCACGTGCCCTTTGGCGCATGAAATAATTCACGAAGGGGTACCTAAGATCTTTCTTCACTAAAGCTAGAAAATCGCCATATGACCTTTCCTGTAATGGTGCGACGTTCAACCTAACAAAAAAGTATATATTTGTATAAATAGGCCATACGTAATTTTTGAAACATGTAAACACACACTGGCTTTATTTGTTTTTGTTTGTGGCAAAGTGATATTGAATTTGTAATAAATGGAAGACATTAAAATACGACACTGTTCATGTTTATAATATTCTAAAATTCAGTTTATAAACAATGCACTTAGATATGCAATCAAAGATTTAAGAAAGCTATTTAAAAAGGCAAAGCTATTTTTTTTCTCTCATAATTTCATGTCTCCTTTACAAGTAAAATATTTTTAAAACCCAATTATTCAAGTAATTATTGTATGTTTATACAGTGAATTGTATGTATAGTGAATGTACACCTAACATTGACTTTATACTTCTGCTGAATATCATATTTCAAGATTCCATATTACACGGCTGAGTTTAAATTACGTTGAACTACTTATCTAAGGACTGCTAGTTGCATGGGTTCAAACTCCGATCCTGGGACAAGCCGTTGTTTCCTTGAGCAAGAATCTTAAATATTTTCTTATTACTGGTTGGTTCCATGAGTGTATTCAAGAATTCAGAATGTGTTTAAAAGCTTATAGCTTCTTTCACTATCAAACTAAAATAAAATTTGTATAAACTAACATTACATGTGCTACATGTATATTATGCAAGTCAAACGTTTTGGGTCAGGACCCTTATTGAGCTATAAATGCAGAAGAAGAACTGCTTGTTGATGAGCCTTTGTATAAAATTTATGTTGTTTTTATTTATCGCAGTGACACATTAAAAACTTTAATTTGTTTGACATTCCCACAAACCATCTCTTGGTATTTGGACAGTATGCAAGACTCTCTGGTTCATCTCATCCATGACTTCTGTCTATCAAGATCTTTACTTTATTTAGTTCAAATGATAATTGATAGATATTATCTGACTATTTTTTTCTTTGTCAAATGTTTTGTCTATTTCACCTGATATACTAAGAATCTTAACACTAGCTGGATCCAAATATAAAACTACAAGATAGGGGTTCTTGTAGGCAATACCAGTACAAAAACCATTTCCCTATATCTCTGTGATATCTGAAACTTTCATATCCCCTGAAAATGTTATCAGTTTGATAATTCTTTCATTTGGAAATGTTACAGCAACTTCATAATCTGAAAAGTTTGTTAAATCACAGGGAAATTGTATCAAATTTTGTATCATCCATACAACTTGCCTGTGACATTTCTAGTTTATAACTGAAATAGCTACACTCTTTCCAATTTAATATTATAAGTGTATGTTATTTCGAAGAAATGATACTTGGTCCATAAAAGTTTAAAGAAGTATTGGTGAGAGTCAGCTGTAGTTGCTAAGACAGGTCTTTGGTACACAACCATTGTGTTAACAACCTTAAGTATATATATTTCAATTATTCAATTTAATTGTCTAGATGCAGCAATTGCAGGTCGTGATAAAGTAATATTAATACTGGTCATTATAACCATGCGAAAATAAATCTTAATTAATATTCAATTTCAGTTTCTGAGTAAAGCCATGAATTACACTGTGATGAGGAATAGATAACACACTTAATGACTTTAAAATGGATTCAGTGAAATATGTATGTTGAGAGTGGACATTTTAACCTTGTCAATCAAAATTGGTTGTGAGCAGAGCCATTGTGGCACTCTAGTGCTATACAAGTGTTTATTTAAGCCACTGCAGATGTCACTACAAGGAGTTTTTTTATTTTGTGGTAGTTTATAGTATATTACAGGGGCGCCCCTGGTCGAGTGGTTCAGGTCGTTATCTTCAAACTACTTGCCTTCACCTCTGTGGGTTCAAATCTCGCTAGGGACTTGATTTCTGTCATGTGAGAAAGCTATCCAGAATACTGATAAACGTCGTTGGTGCTACCCACGTGCCCTTTGGCGCATGAAATAATTCACGAAGGGGTACCTAAGATCTTCCTTCACTAAAGCTAGAAAATCGCCATATAACCTTTCCTGTAATGGTGCGACGTTCAACCTAACAAAAAAGTATATACTTGTTTTTGTTTGTGGCAAAGTAATATTTAATTTTGTAATAAATGGAAGACATTATAATATGACACTGTTCATGTTTATAATATTCCAAAATTCAGTTTATAAACAATGCACTTAGATATGCAATCAAAGATTTAAGAAAGCTATTTAAAAAGGCAAATCTATTCATTTTCTCATAATTTCATGTCTCCTTTACAAGTTAAATATTTTTAAAACCCAATTATTCAAGTAATTATTGTATGTTTATACTGTGAATTGTATGTATAGTAAATGTACACCTACTATTGACTTTATACTTCTGCTGAATATCATATTTCAAGATTCCATATTACACGGCTGAGTTTAAATTACGTTGAACTACTAATCTAAGGACTGCTAGTTGCATGGATTCAAGCTCCGATCCTGGGACAAGCCGTTGTTTCCTTGAGCAAGAATCTTAAATATTTTCTTATTACTGGTTGGTTCCATGAGAGTATTCAAGAATTCAGAATGTGTTTAAAAGCTTATAGCTTCTTTCACTATCAAACTAAAATAAATTTTGTATAAACAAACATTACATGTGCTACATACATGTGTATATTATGCAAGTCAAACGTTTTGGGTCAGGACCCTTATTGAGCTATAAATGCAGAAGAAGAACTGCTTGTTGATGAGCCTTTGTATAAAATTTATGTTGTTTTTATTTATCGTAGTGACACATTAAAAACTTAAATTTTGTTTGACATTCCCACAAACAATCTCTTGGTATTTGGGCAGTATGCAAGACTCTCTGGTTCATCTAATCCATGACTTCTGTCTATCAAGATCTTTACTTTATTTAGTTCAAATGATAATTGATGGATATTATCAGATGTAACGCCACACACATAAACTGATCCATATTCATCAACAGCTAGTTGGTCAGGCCTTCTTAATTGATCATCCTTGTAGACAGCCTTCACCCTACCATCAAAGGTTAAACAGGTCACAGTGTATTTGTTCTGATCAGAAACATATATTATGGTATTGTCAGAACTGTCAGAACTGACAGTTAAGTACAAAGGTCTGATAAACAGATTCTGACCATTTTTGTCAAATGTTTTCAATATTTCCCCTGACATACTTAGAATCTTAACACTAGCTGGATACAAATATGAAATGACAAGATAATGATTCCTGTAAGCAACTCCAGTACAAAAACCATTTCCTGGTATTTCAGTGATATTTAAAACTTTTATACCTTCTGAAAATGCTATCAGTCTGATCATTCTTTCATTTGGAAATGTTACAGCAACTTCATAATCTGAAACTTTGGTAATATCCCATGGCCTTGTTTGAAATCTTATGCAGTCCATATAATTTGCCTGTGACTTTTCTAGATTGTATATGAGCAGACGACACTTTTCCCAATATGATATTAGAAGTGTATGTTTAGATAAAGACAACTCTTCTTTCTAAAGCTGATATTTCTTTAAAAGTGTAAAATCTTGTAGCACTTTCTTGAGATTGTTCTGTCGGTTTAATCTCGGAGGTTTTGAGTTTGTAGGTCTGTATGTAGGCTTGTTGAATTTGTTTAATATTTCGGCGAGGGTCTTCACACAGTTCTTTTGTAAAATTCAATTTCATAAGTATTTTACAGTTTTGACCTGATTTTTGGTCCTGTTCTAGCTCAGCAGTAAGGACCCTAAAATTTCCAACCAGATTCAAATGTTCTGATCTGAGTACCTTAAATTCTGTGTTTGTGCTAACAACCTCTTTTTTCATATCTGTTTCAGCTTTCGCTATCTTGTTTTTAAATTTTCTCTCCTTTTCAGATAACTGTTGAACTAGTTTAAGCCTTTCTTTCTTCAACTTCGCAATGGTCTCCTCAATCTTCTTATCAAAATCTTCAAGTAGATCTTGATGTTGTTGTTTGTATGCTTTTATTAGTTTATCTGCGTGTTCCTTACATGTTTCGGCTGCCTTTTCCTCTTGTTTATCAATTACTTCACTTTTGGCATTCAAAAGCCATTCTGTGCCTTTTATATCAGCAGATAATTTATCCAAGTTCTGTTGAAGATCTTTTAAGTCATCACTATTTTGTATGCCCGAAGCAACGGTTGGTAAATGGTTCACATCACCACATTTATCATGCTCATTATTCTTGCATGCTTGACAGGCTTCTTTGCTACACTCAGAGCAATAATACTTAACCAGCTGTTGAGGATGAGTGAGACACTTCTCAAAATAGAAATCTTGCGGCATACTGTCACTGTCTTGAGTTTTGTGAGTTTTAAAATGCCTTCTATGATATTTTCTGCATGTCTTACATTTATATTCCACACAATCCACACAAAAAGCCACAGCTGTAGCGTATTCTCCAGTGTGTCTTTCACATTCCTCACAGTACATTTCTTTAATTTCATCAGAGTCTTGAATAAGTGGTGTACTGCCATCAGCAGTTGTGAATTCTATTATTTCAGCCATTTTTTGAATAATTAATTATCCTTTCCCTGGAAGTAAAGTACAATCTAATCGAGTTTGAATGTTTTTCTTCTTTTTTACGATGGTGTTGAAGGTTAGTAAGATATATATATATATCACGATATGTGGTCATATGAGGGACCAAAGGTTTTGTTTAATTTTACTAAACGATTGTTTGATTGTTTGATAAGCCTTTATCAGTTTAATGTTTAATGTTAAAATCTGTGCTCTTCTTATCAATATGAAGTCAGTTTATTCTTGTTGTAAAATGATTATACATTTGATTTTTCTTGATTATTCATGACTCAAAGGCAGTTATAATATAAAAGTATGATACTAGAATTAGCACTGCATGTCTAGATAAAGAATGTCAATGAGATGTACAACTTGTAAATATTGAAATTAAAAGCATTCTGTTTTATTTTCCACAGTTGATGTATGTACTTTTTCATTTCTGGAAGAAAAGATGTGAAAGATGTGGTTTTGTTTGGACTACAAATGTAATATTAACCATGGCCTTAGGGTAAACATGGGTTGTGCCCTTGATTTTATGCCCCCGTCATGATGATAAGATATTATGTACGTTTGGAAACCTTATACTGCTCATAATACTTTTTTGCTTCAAGGGAAGTTGAAACAATCTGGCACAAATATGTATCATAGGCATTCCCTAGATCCGTAGCTCCAAGTTCTAGGTCACACTTCGTCACCTTACTGCAGTAACGGGTCAACTCCTATAAAATATTATAAGGAGTTACTCGTTACTGTAATTTAGATGTTAAAATATCTCGTCAAGCCCATAACTCTGTTATGTATTTAGGGATTTGAAATACATTGGCAAAAAAGACAATCTGAGATGTGCAGGACCTAGACACCAAGCTCCAAGGTCAAGGTTGCACTTGGTAGTTTAATAATAACTTCATGTTTAGCCATTTGCCAGTACCATGAAAGACTCTGAATGAAGCGGGAATCATGGCTATATATAACAGTGCAGCTTGGGGTGCAAAAGTGCTTCCCAGTGCCTGGTGGGTGTATCATAGTCAGGTATCAAAGACTGCGCCCTCGGGAGAGTATCTCACCATCGGTAGTTTCATGATCAGCGGTAGGTAGATAAAATAAAAAATATTATATACTTTCACTTAATATATGTTTAAGATTCTTTCATTGAAATAGTCTTTAAATTATAGCTTTTTATCAGTAGCAAGATTATTGCTTTATGATTTTGAAATATGATTTCATTATAAATGCTAGTAACCCTACTTCAGAAATTGATGTTTTATAAAGTGACCCCACTGAGGTTTTCATGCTCCCAGAAGGGAGAGCATATAGTCGCCTTCTTGTCCATCTGTCCGTCTGTCCATCTGTCCGTCCGCCCGAACAAACATTTTGGGTTAAGGGGCTATAAAACGGTAAAGAGAATAAAAGAGAACAATAGGTTCTTCCGTCATCAAAGGGTTTATGGGATAGTAGCCCTTAACCAGACAAAAGAAAATAACAAAGAAAACAGCCTCTAAACCCAAAATGTTGGAACGTCCCACTGTCCGTCCGTGGGGATTTTCCGTAGCATAACTTGAAAACCCTTTGACATTTTTTTCTAAATTGCACACAGTGGTAGAAGACATTGGGGTGGAGCGCAGTGCCAAAGAACTATAACTCTGTTATGCCCGTTTTGAATTATCTCCTCTTATAGAAATTTTTTATTCGGGACACAGCTCTTAAACTATAAGAGCTATAAACATGAACTTTGTAGGTAGATAGATTTCAACGGATAGATGTTCAGTGCACAAGAATCATAACTCTGCCTTGCCTAATTTTGGAGTTCTTGTCCATTGTTCATTTTTACACTTTGAACTTTGTCCGGTTCATAACTCTTAAACTATAAGAAATATCAACATGAAACTTTGTTGGTAGATAGATCTGAATAGATAGATGTGCGGTGCTCAATAACCACCACTATACCTTGCCTAATTTTGGAGTTATTGTTCTTTGTTCACTATTTTCACTTGAACTTTGTCCGGGTCATAACTCTAAATATATAAGAAATATGAATATGAAACGTTGTTGGTAGATAGATCTCAATGGATATATGTGCAAAGCTAAAGAACCATAATTCTGGTTTGCCTAATTTTGGAGTTATTTGCCTTTTTTATTTTTACACCTTTAACTTTGTCCCGGACGTAACTCTTAAATCTTAAGATATCAACATAAACCTTCACTAAAGAGGATCGTCAAGGTCACGAAATATTATGAAATATAGAGATTTTGACCAGAGTATGTCTCCTACATATATGGAGGTAAATCAACATGAAACTTTGTATGTAGATAGATCTTATCAGGTAAAAGTGCCGTGCAAAAAATTCTTAACTCTGTCTTGTCTAATTTTGGATATATTGCCCTTTGTTCATTTTTACACATTTAACATTGTCAGGGACATTACTCGGAAACCAAAAGAGGTATCAACTAGAAACTCTGCAGGTAGATAAACGTCATTAAAAAAAGTGAAGTGCAAAAGAACCGTATCTCTGCCTTGCCTAATTTTTGAGTTATTGTCCTTTGTTCATTTTTACACTTGAACTTTGTCTGAGTCATATCTCCGAAACCATAAGCGGTATCAACAAGAAACTCTGCAAATGATAGATCTCATTAAATAGACGCCGTGCATAAGAATCGTTACTCTGCTTTGTCTAATTTTGGAGTTATTGTCCTTTGTTCTTTTTTACACTTTGAAATTTGTCCGGGTCTCTAAAACTCTAAGAGATATCAACATGAAACTTTGTTGGTAGATAGATCTTAATAGATAAATGACCAGTGCTCAGGAACCGTAGCTCTACCTTGCCATTTTTCAAAGTTATTTGTCTTGTTTCATTCTACACCTTAAACTTTGCCCGGGACGTAACTCTTAAATCTAAAGATATCAATATAAACCTTCACTAAAGAGGATCGTCAAGGTCACTAAATATTATGAAATATAGAGATTTTGACCAGAGCATGTCCTCTACATATATGGAGGGATTCTAACGAAACTTCATGTAAATATTCACCACTATAAGGGGCAGTGTCGTGCGCATAAACTAAGTATTTAGGTCAAATGTCAAGGTTACACTCAGAGGTCATTCAAAAAACACTTGTCCGGAGCAAAACTTCTACATGCAAAGAGGGATTTCAATATAACTTTGCACAAATGTTCACCATAGTGAGACAGAGTTCCGCGCGCAGTTCACAATTTAGGTCCTTGATCAGGGTCACACATAGGGGTTAAAATTCATTTAAAACTATGAAAATGTGTATTCGGACCATTTAGTAATAATTTATTGGGTAACTGAAACACAAATGGTCATTATCATAATTACTGGAGTGAAACATTTTATTTAGGTCAGTAAGTGCAAGGTCAAGGTTGCTAAAAATGTAAAATATAGGAATTTTGTCCAGAGCATATCTCCTCCACGCATGGTTGGATTCTAATGAAACTTAACAAAAATATTCAACACTATGAGAAGCAGTGTCACGTGCAACATGTCTTATATAACAAAAACTTCTTCTAGTTTTAGTTTAAAGGTAAACATTTAGGAGTTATGTTTTACCCAATTAAGATGGCCACAGATCTGTCAAACTTTTCTTCTATTCATGAGCTTGGTTTTGTATTAACTTGATCCAGTTGGGTTGTAATCATTTATTTTAGTCTCAATCTAAATGCAATCAAGCTTTTGCCTAGAAACATACATAAAAAAATTTCAAAGCAAAGAAAACTCTTTTTTACATTCTTTTACACTAGTAGTAATATAGTCTATGTGGCTGAGTAATCAAGGAAGTTTAAATTACTTGCCCTTCAACTTCATTATGTAAGGAAGTTATACTAGTGATATTATTGATTTTAGCACTTTGGCATTGATTTCCCTTTAACTACTTAGCCTGTGTCAAAGATTTGAAAGTGTTCAAATTTCTGGAATAGGCATTAAGGGCTAATTTAGGAGTATATACAAAATTGTAGATAATGAATGCGTATAATATGAGTCCCTTGACTATACCATAGGATGGCAAAGATATTATCAAACAATTGTAAGCATGTACAACATGTTTTAGAAATCAACTGGCGGGTCAAGGTTATCGGCCAAAAAAAGCCTGTTGAACAAAAATTATTTTATTTGTAAAAAATATTGAAATCAGTGTGCCATGAATGGAATAGGAAATGGTAATAATATCCAATCAGTTAATTAATAAAATTTAATGACTAGTGGTCGTGTAAGATTAGTAAACCGATTGTCTGACTTGTTTGTTTATCAGTTACCTGCTAAATTCTCAAATGCACTTGATAAGCTTCTTTGTTTTAAACATACACAATAAAGTGAGAGAGAGAGAGAGAGAGAGAGAGAGAGAGAGAGAGAGAGAGAGAGAGAGAGAGAGAGAGAGAGTAAACATATTAAAGGTGAGCTTCATGCTATAATATTTGCCCGCTTAAGTCAATATGGAAAGCATCGGATTTGTAATACAGGGGTTGCTAGTTGGATCCCTGAGCAAGGCGTAATTTCTCCAGTTTGATTGTTATGACAATAAAATGTGTTAAATTGACTTAAAAAACATCTGACAAAAACAACTAATTGGTTATAAAGGTTACTGATGTGTTATACTTGTGGGTTGGTATAGCCTGAATGAATTTGACCTAAGATGATCCCTGAGGGTTGTAAATATATTTAAAAGGGCAAATAAGAAGAAGTTTATAATAGTGCAAACTTTTTCCAAAAAGGAAAAAAAGTTAAACTGAGTAATAAGTATTTGTAATATTGCAAACTTCTATTTATTGAAAATGAAATTGAAGAAAAAAAATGCAAACAATAAAAATTAATATAGAAGTTTTTAGCCTATTTCCATTTTAGATCCCCACAAAAATGAAAACAATATAAAATGAGTATATATGTATATTGGCTTTTTCCAATTTAGAATCCTCATTGTGTCTCTAACAGAATAACGTTTACCTATTATTCAAGACATATTACAAAGTTGTTTGATATGACATAGATATTTATTAAAGGTCCGTTTACTAAATGAAAGCCTACCAAATAATTAAACTGTTGATTCATATACATTATCCTATTTATCACAGCAGCTATTAAATTATTCAATTGTCAGCAATTATCTGATTTGTAAAATTTTGTTGAATAAATCAATCAATACATTTTAAATGGATCATCAAACTATGCTAAAAGGAAGACGATTTCTTTTCAATTATATTACGATACTCAATTTCTTTTATCATTTAGACACAGTGTTTAATACATTTTCTGAAAATATGAATGTCCCAGAACTTCAGGGATTCTATAATTATCGTCACATTAGCGTTGTTTGTGCCGTGTGGAGGCCGTGAAAAGTCGCCCGTACATCAAATCGGGGATGTTATATTTCCGATTCTTAACCCATTACTTCATGAGCATTTTGCAAAAAAATTGCTGTTTTCATTGAAAAGTCTCCCCTTACAAGTTCAAATTGCTATAAAACAATAAAAACTACTTCAATACTAATCAAACTTGGCACAATTAATGACTGGATCATTGTCTTTGTAACAACATGCTCAGGTTTAAATTTCCTGTAAACACGGCAACGAGGGACATCTGAAAATTGGCAAAAATCACTATTTTGCGTGAATTTTTTCCATCAAAATTGGTTTCAAAGTGCTGCAACTTCTCAATGGATTGAGTTAGAGTCAAATGCTTCTCAGCCTTGGTTACGCGTTACCTTATGATCGATCTGGGGTCACCTTTAGCCTCTCACAAGTCCAAAATTTTCTTGGCGATGAGAGGAACTGCCGCCCCCTTCAAACTCCCTAAACAGAAGGGGGCACATCCCCCTTCTGGCAACGCCCTGATGTATCTTTTGGTTAGGGGGCGCGCCGAAAAAGTGGTCACTTTTTTAAACAACATTTCTCAAACAAAAACAAGTGTTGGGGCCTAAATAAGGCATATTTTCACCATTTTAGACAGCAGAAAGGGGGGGGGGGGAGTTGGTGAAAAAAGGCGCTAAAAGGCGTGTATATCTGGTAATGGGTAAAAGATAGTTCAGCACGACATATTTGATGTACTTGTGGTATTTTTAGTTCTTTCTATCCGGCTATTTTCTATTTGGGTGGTTCCAGTATTCCTCATTTGAATCCTTAGGATATGTGACCTGCTTTTAAAATTTGTCTTTGACAACTTATCTGTAATATGCAGTCATCATAACCTCTGATCCCTTTTCAAAATCCTATTTTATTTAGTTCGCCCATTGTTTTCTCGTTTAGTGCACATGTATTATTTTACTTGGGGACCGTACGTCGCTTTTCATGGAATGGCACTATCGTGTCACATTGAAGGTTCCATGATAAATGCCGTATGAACACATCTGCGGATGTTTCTAAATTCAACATTTCATCATAACCATGATTTAATGTTTAATTCTGCTTAAGCCGGTGCTAGGTGCCATGGACGGTAACTTGCACTTTCCAGTACCGTCCATGAACAGACTCAATCAAACCAAGCCGTCAACATTTTTAATTGAGACGTTTTGTGCGTTCTGTAGGGATTCTTTATTTCCCTCTTTTTAGGAACAAAACTGAGTGAAAAATTAAATATTTGGCTTTGTGAAAAATACTTTGAGCTTAATTTAAACATTCTTGAGCTGACAAGAAAATAGAACATTCTTACGTCAGATTAAGATTTGAAATAAGGTGAGGTCTTTGCTTGGTTTGCTCACGGTTTCTTATATCATATCAGACAAATTGGTATAGCTCAAGTGTAAAGTTGGTATGTGAACACTTTCATCTAGAGAAACCTTTCTTTAATAAGTTTTATCTTCTTGATGCAGCAATGTGAAATGAAAAAAATAAATGGCTGTTAAATATACAGACTTTTGTTTTGTTGATGAAAAGTAAAACGATTCAGTATTTAATTAATTATCAACATGTTATGTGCGATTTATGACTGATTATGCAGTATCAATTACTATAATTCTACTGCGTTACTAACGCAGTAAGAGGTATTTAGGTTTATTTGACCTTTTGGTAATTTACGTGGAGTGGATTGTAAGTGCCATTTTCAAAGTGTAAATTACTTTTTATTCACTTCACACTGTTTTCCTTTTAAATACAATTTCAAAATTTTCATGAAAATTAGCATTATTCTGGAGGCATGTTGCTGTAAAAAAAGCCATTTATACATTTTAAAGCTTCAAATAGAATTTTTGGTGGTAAAGGGGCATGCATTGTGTGGCAGAGGAAAAAAGGAATTTTTTTTATAAGATTTTAAAGGATATTCACTACTCTAAAGCGGAGACTCCTTTCATTAAGGAATAATAACGAATGGCTCCTTTCATAAATGAATATTACAGAATGAAACGTAATCTAAAAGATGTTAATACAATCTTGATACAGGACAAACAACTGGAAAGGAACCATAATTATAATTACCCTTTTTTGCAATGCACAAATTTGACCCAGGCTAATGCATGTAGGGCGGGCACCTACAATCATCTTTCACCTGCAATGAGGGAAATGCCTAAGACCTTTGCAGCGTTTGGATTGACTAAAACCTCAAAAAGAACGTGGGTTGGAATCAAAAACAAAAGCAACTAAAAGTTGTTTTATTCAAAAGGATTTAATAAGTTATATATTGCATTAATTAAAAAACATCTCATCACTTGAAATCTTGGCATACAATCAGAGGAACATAACGTTACACACATTAGAAAGTTTGCAATAAAAATACTTTTTCAACAGCATTCCATAATCATGTGGTTTATATATAAAATAAAACAAGACTTAAATACTAACAAAACAAAACAGTCTGAATCTCATATGTCTGATAAGTTGATTCTATGTAATGATTTAAATAAACCAATGGATGACTTATATTTCTTGACTTTTACGAGACTCGTCTGCAGTCTTTAATTTGAAACTTCTGCATTTTATAAGCTGACAGTGATTACTACTAGAATAATTAACAAGTCGACATTTATATGTCTGTTGTTGTACATTATATATTATATAACTATTTATTCAAAATGATTATAAAAAAACCATTTCAGATTGTCTGTTGTTTTACTGAATGCTTATCTGGTGTTTTACTGAATGCAGACACAAAAAATGAGTGGAATAGACTAAATTTTGTTATTGTTCAGGTATGTAATAAATTGACAATTCCGTTCACAAACAATGCAATTTATGACAGTCATTTGATTAATAAAGCAAATATGGAATAAATAAATTTAAAAAAAAACAAAGATATTTATTTTCTCATATTTTTACGCCTTCTCTTGGTAATCTTAAGTACCAGGGTCATTTTAAGTTCCTATTAAAAGATTTTAACACATCAAGAATTTGTTTTCATTTTGTCAATTTATACAGTGAATTGTATTCATAGTAAATTTGCACCTAACATTGACATACTACTCCTGCTAAATATGACATTTCAAGATTCCATGTTACATGGCTGAGTGAATTGCCGGCCGCATGGGTTCAAACTCCATCTTGACAAGCCGTTGTTTCCTTAAATAAGGAAATTATAATTTGTTGCTTAATAATTATTGTTTTTAGGAACAGATTCAAGAATGCAGAGTGTGTCTTTAAGCAACTTGATTTTTTGCACAATCAAACAAATAAATTGTATATAAACTAAGATAAAATGTTCTATATTCAAGTCACGTGTTCATTAGGACCCATAATCGGCCCAAGTGTGAGGAATATTTTGAATAATTGTCGAAGAGTGTCTGTGTGACAGTTGTAATTGTTTATTATAATGACATATTGAAAACTCTAATTTTGTTTCGCATTCCCACAAACAATCTCTTGGTATTTTGGCAGTAGGCAACACATCTTGGTTGATCTAATCCATGACTTTTATCTATCAAAATCTTAACTTTTGTGAGATCACTTGATAATTGATGGACATTATCAGATTCAACTCCACACGCATATACTGATCCATATTCATCAACAGCAAGTTGATAAGGTAAATTCAAATGATCATCCTTGTAAACAGCCTTTAACTTACCATCAAAGGTCAAACAGATCACACCGTATTTTTCACAATCAGAAACATAAATCATTGTATTGTCAGGACTAACAGTCAAGTAGCAAGGATCAATAAACAGCTTCTGACCATAATCATCTTTGTCAAAGGTTTTCACTACTTCACCTGACATACTTAGAATCTTAACAATACCTGTACCCCAATATGAAACTGCAAAGTAGTTATTCTTGTAGGCAATACCAGTACAACGACCTTTTCCTGGTATCTTGGTGATATCTAAAACTTTCATATCTTCTGAAAATTTTAACAGTATGATCATTTTTTCATTTAGAAATGTTATAGCCACTTTACAATCAGAAACTTTCGTAATATCCCACGGATTTGTATCAAATTTTATTTCATCCATACAAATTGCCTGTGTCTTTTCTAGTTTGTATATGACTAGGTTACACTTTTTCCAATCTAAAATTAGAAGTGTATGCTCAGATAAGACAAGTAAAGAAGAAATGATGTCAAACTGACCGCTAATATCAAAATTAAAGACAACTTTTCTTTCTACAGCTGATGCATGTACATTTTCAAATGTGAAAAAACTGGTCTCATGATCCAGAGATAGTTCTTTTGCTTGAGTTTCAGAGATTTTGATTTTGTAGTGCTGTATGTTAGCTTGATGAATTTGTTCGATATTTCGATGAAGGTTTTCACAAAGTTGTTTTATTAACTTATATTTAATGAAAAGTACACATTTTTTACCTAATTTCTGAGCCTGTTCTAGATCAGCAGTAAGAGCCTTAAAATTTCCAACCAGATTTAAATGTTCTGACTTGAGTTCCTTAAATTCTCTGTTAGTGCTAACAACTTCTTCTTTTATATCTGTTTCAGCTTTTGTTATTTTGTTTTCAAATTTTCTCTCCTTTTCAGATAACACTTGAACTAGTTCTAGCCTTTCTTTCTTCAACCTTGCAATGGTCATTTCCATCTTTTTATCAAAAGCATCAATTACAATTTGATGTTGTTGTTTTAAAGCTTTTATTAGTTTATTTGAGTGCTCCTTACATATTTCAGTTGCCTTTTCTTCTTGTTTTTCAACCACTTCACTTTTGGCTTCCAACAGCTTTTCTGTGTCTATTATGTCAACGAACAATTCATCCAAGTCATGTTGGAGATCTTTAAAGTCGTCACTTTTTTGTATACCTGAAGCAACTGTTGGTAAATGGTACACATCACCACATTGACCATGCGCATTGTCCTTGCAGTCTTGGCAGGCTAATTTGCTACACTCAGAGCAGTAAAACTTGATCAGCTGTTGAGGATGAGTAGAACACTTCTCAAAATAGAAATCCTGCGGCATACTGTCACTATCTTGAATTTTGTGAGTTTTGAAATGTCTCCTATGATATTCTCTGCAGGTCTTACATTTATATTCCACACAATCCACACAGAAAGCCACAGCTGTAGCGTATTCTCCATTGTCTCTCTCACATTCCTCACAATACATTTCTTTAATTTCATCAGAGTCTTGTGTTAGTGATGAAATGCCATGAGAAGTTAATTTTTCTTTCTTTTCAGCCATTTTAGAAAATTATGTATCCTTTCCCTTGTAGAAAAATACAATATTATCGAGATTTTTAAGCGATTATAATGATTGTTTTGAAATGTATTATATAGGTCATATGTATCTTGATAAGTAATCATATGAGAGACCAAGGGTTTTGTTTAATTTTACCTTATGATAGTTTGATAAGCCTGTATCAATTTGATAATGTTTAAGGTTAAAATGTATTCCCTTGTTATCAATAAAATGTCAGTTCTTTCATGTTGTAAAATCATTTTACATTTGCTTTTTCTGGATCATACATGCGTCTAATAGCAGTCATGATGTAGTGGAATGATACCAGATCAAGGAGTGTATGTCCAGATAAAAGAATTAAAGGGATACTCAGGCAAATTAATGACAAATATAATAAAATAATCTTAAGTTCTCAAATCACGCTAAAATGACATTTTTAAAGTGTATAAAGCTAATATATACTTGATGTGTTATGATTGCAAAAATTGTGTTTATATTATGATCATGATAGACACAAAATACCTAGAAAAGAAAGAAAATCACCTACCTTTGTATTAACATTGAGATGAACTTGCCCCAAATAATCATAAACCAAGTGAAAATAGTAGGGGAATATTTTGTTCCGGAACATTTTATACTAATTAACGTACAAAAATCATGTGTGATAATTAACTCGGTCATTCTCTGTTACAACTTTTTGAAAAATCACCATACGGTTATTCAAACAAAGTAATTTTGCTGTTTTTAAATATTTACACTTTTTTTTGTCAGATATAGCTTTATACACTTTAAGATCCAAACATGAATTTCTGTATCAATTCTATATACAGTCGAAACTGTACTAACGGTCACCTCTTATCAGCGGTCACCTGACCTTAATTTTGTGACGCTCCCGACGAAAACCACTCTATTTTATACATCTGTTCAACGGTCACCTGCTGTCCGAGGTCAACGGTCACCTAAAATGCTTCCCGAATCTTAAACTCGGTCATCTTAAGCGGTCAGCCAGGTGAAACGGCCAGGTGAAACGGCTAGACAATCTTGTGTCATTTATTTTCAACGATGACACGTGTCACGGATTAACAATAGCTACTTGTCAGGTGCTAGATATTAACACAAACCACAACATTTCAAGAAGTTTGCATAATTGCTCATCCGTGTCGTAATTACAAACGTTTGGAATGTCTCAACGCACTTGCAATTCGTTCTTTTGAGTTACTGTACACTAGTTTTTTATTTTTCAATTTATCGATTTTAAGAAAAAAAAGAAAGAAGAAAAAATGCATTGTCGATGGCAGAAAGAAATGTTTTGATTTGTGTCCTTTTTATCAGTTTATCCCGATGCAGATAAATTTTGTGCGTACATAGTACTTACCAAATAAATAAAAATGAATTACATCGCCGATTGTCTAAATTCCTCAGTAATAAATTCATAAAAACACTTGCTCCATGTGTGAAAATGAAATTGCATAAATATAATGAGGTCATTTTCCAATCACACCCATTAAGTTTATACACTAGATGACCTCTAAGAGGTAACTAGCGGGCTCTTCAAAAGAATCTTTGATGTTTACAAACCTCTAGCCCTGCTGTTCATCAAAGGAAGTGCCGACACTAAGATGACATGTACACAATATTCTATTGATTAAAAGTTAGAAAAAAAACTGCCATACTTGTTTTGTGAAGAAAATATTACGCAGTTTAAATTATTGTGCAAGAAGATATTTTTATTGGATAATTAGTTTCAATTATTGACATAATAAATCGTGAGTGCATTTGTTTATCTGTGTTACATTTATGTAAAGCTTTATGTTGGAAGGAGTGTGTACATGTTAAACCATTAATAGCATACGTTTGTAAATGGCTAAAAACTGATGATGATGATGATGCTGCTGCTGCTGATGATGATGATGAATCAGACTGGTTTATTTATACTTAAATCAGATTAATTTTACAAAGAAATGAATAATTTATTTTGATAAAAACTGGATCCTCCATTCAGCAGCCACCTGTCTTAAGCAGCCAAAATGACTGCATCCCTTGGCTGGCTGCTTAAGACAGTTTTGTATATAAATTTCGGAAAAAAAACATCAATTTTACGACCCTGAAAAGGCCTAAAGCCCTAACCCAAGTAATATGTCCAGGAGATTTCCACGTGGCTTGGTCATTTTTTGCACTGGCGATTTGTTCTTTCTCTGAGTAATTTCGGCAAAAACATCATATTCACGACCCTACCATTCAAAAACCATTTGATCAATTCCGTTGCAAATTTGATTTTGTACAACTTGAGAGGATCTTCTTTGCACATGATAAGGCTTATAGCCCTAACCCAAGGAACATGTCCATGAGGTTTCCGCATGGCTAGGTTATTTTCCAGCGATTTGCTTTTTCTGTATATAAAGTTCGGAAAAAACATCAATTTTACGAGCCTACCGTTCACAAGGCATTTGACCAATTCCAATGCAAATTCAATTTTGTACAACTTGAGAGGGATTTCTTTGCACATGAAAAGACCTAAAACCGTTACCGAGATTTCCGCTTGGCTTGATCATTTTTTGCACCGGCGATTTGTTCTTTCTCTATGTAAATTCCGGGAAAAACATCATATTCACTAGCCTACCATTCAAAAATCATTTGATCAATTCCGTTGCAAATTTAATTTTGTACAACTTGAGAGGGTCTTCTTTGCACATGATAAGGCTTATAGCCCTAACCCAAGGAACATGGCCATGAGATTTCCGCATGGCTAGGTCATTTTCCAGCGATTTGAATTTTCTGTACATAAATTTCGGAAAAACACCAATTTTACGAGCCTACCGTTCAAAAGCCATTTGACCAATTCCAATCAAATTCAATTTTGTACAAGTTGAAAGGGTCTTCTTTGCACATGAAAAGGCCTAAAGCCCTAACCCAAGTAATATGTCCAGGAGATTTCCGCGTGGCTTGGTCATTATTTGCACCGGCGTTTTGTTCTTTCTCTATGAAAATTTCGGGAAAAACATCATATTCACGAGCCTACCATTCAAAAGCCATTTGATCAATTCCATTGCAAATTTGATTTTGTACAACTTGAGAGGGTGTTCTTTGAACATGATAAGGCTTATAGCCCTAAACCAAGGGACATGTCCATGGGATTTTCGCATGGCTAGGTCATTTTCCAGCGATTTGCTTTATCTGTATATAAATTTCGGAAAAAACATCAATTTTACGAGCCTACCGTTCAAAAGTCATTTGACCAATTCCAATGCAAATTCCATTTTGTACAACTTGCGAGGGTCTTCTTTGCACATAATAAGGCTTATTGCCCTAACCCAAGAAACATTTCTATGAGATTTCCGCATGGCTAGGTCATTTTCGAGCGATTTGCTTTTTCTGTATATAAATTTCGGAAAAAAACATCAATTTTACGAGCCTACCGTTCAAAAGTCATTTGACCAATTCCAATGAAAATTCAATTTTGTACAACTTGAGAGGGTCTTCTTTGCCCATGAAAAGGCCTAAAGCCCTAACACAAGTAACATGTCCAGGAGATTTCCGCGTGGCTTGGTCACTTTTTGCACCGGCGATTTGTTCTTTCTCTATGTAAATTTCGGGAAAAACATCATGTTCACTAGCCTACCATTCAAAACCATTTGATCAATTCCGTCGAAAATTTGATTTTGTACAACTTGAGAGGGTCTTCTTTGCACATGAAAAGGCCTAAAGCCCTAACCCAAGTAATATGTCCAGGAGATTTCCGCGTGGCTTGGTCATTTTTTGCACCGGCGATTTCTTCATTCTCTATGTAAATTTCGGGAAAAACATCATATTCCCGAGCCTATCATTCAAAAACCATTTGATCAATTCCGTCGCGCAGTTGATTTTGTACAACTTGAGAGGGTCTTCTTAGCACATGATAAGGCTTATAGCCCTAACCCAAGAAACATGTCTATGAGATTTCCGCATGGCTAGGTCATTTTCGAGCGATTTGCTTTTTTCTGTATATAAATTTCGGAAAAAACATCAATTTCACGAGCCTACCTTTCAAAAGCCATTTAACCAATTGCAATGCAAGTACAATTTTGTAGAACTTGAGTGGGTCTTCTTTGCACATGAAATGGCCTATAGCCCTAACCCAAGTAATATGTCCAGGACATTTCCGCGTGGATTGGTCATTTTTTGCACCTGCGATATCTTCTTTCTCTATGTAAATTTCGGGAAAAACATCATATTCACGAGCCTACCATTCAAAAACCATTTGATCAATTCCGTTGCAAATTTGATTTTGTACAACTTGAGAGGGTCTTCTTTGCACATGATAAGGCTTATAGCCCTAACCCAAGGAACATGTCCATGTGATTTCCGCATGGCTAGGTCATTTTCCAGCGATTTGCTTTTTCTGTATATAAATTTCAGAAAAAACATCAATTTTACGAGCCTACTGTTCAAAAGCCATTTGACCAATTCCAATGCAAATTCAATTTTGTACAACTTGCGAGGGTCTTCTTTGCACATGAAAAGGCCTAAAGCCCTAACCCAAGTAATATGTCCATAAGATTTCCTCGTGGCTTGGTCATTTTTTGCACCGGCGATTTCTTCTTTTCTTATGTAAATTTCGAGAAAAACATATTCACGAGCCTACCATTCAAAACCCATTTAATCAATTCCGTTGCAAATTTGATTTTTTTCAACTTGAGAGGGTCTTCTTTGCACATGATAAGGCTTATAGCCCTAACCCAAGGAACATGTCTATGAGATTTCCGCATGGCTAGGTCATTTTCCAGCGATTTGCTTTTTCTGTATATAAATTTCAGAAAAGACCTCAATTTAACGAGCCTACCGCTCAAAAGTAATTTGACCAATTCCAATGCAAATTCAATTTTGTACAACTTGAGAGGGTGTTCTTAGCACATGAAAATGCCTAAAGCCTTAACCCAAGTAATATGTCCAGGAGATTTCCGCATGGCTTGATCATTTTTTGCACCGGCGATTTGTTCTTTCTCTATGTAAATTTCGGGAAAAACATCATATTCACGAGCCTACCATTCAAAACCCATTTGATCAATTCCGTTGCAAATTTAATTTAGTACAACATGAGAGGG